CTCCATTCTTAATGTACTGCTTAAAGTCTTATCTAGAACAAGAACACAAGAAAGAAATATGAACACAAACTGAAAACGAAACCACGTATTCTTGTTTTCAGATACTATAATAATTCTAGACATAAAAAACCATAAATATTCCATCAGAAAACTCTTAGGTATGATAGATACTTTGAGAAAAGTGATAAGCCAAAAAATTAACATGTAGAAATAAACCAAGAACAAACAAATTGAGGAAGAACTGGAGGAAATGATTAATTTGCAATTACTTAAGAAAATGCCCTGGGTAGTCTTCTTCCTAGACCAAACAACCACTGTCCATCTTTTAGAGACTTATAGCCTAGGGTGCTAACAAGTAAGTAGGCCTTCTGCTTCCTTGTCCCTAAGTTACTCGATTCTACCTGCCTCTCCTGGACGTGCCTTGATGTTGCTGCCATGTTGGCCCTCTTCCTTTTTCCTCCCTAGGCTACCCAGTTCACCTCCCTGATTGTCTGATCCCACTGCTTTGCAGAACCCTCTCTCCTCCCATAGGTTGCCCAACTATCAGCCTACCTTTCCTCAGGACTCCACTGCCATTTTTGCCCACAGATAAACTCATCAACTTCTTACTTTTAAACCACCCAGCTCCCCATGGCCCATTCTCAGGACATCCTACCACTAGGTAGTCCCCTTCTCCTTCCTTCTTCCTTGGCCACCAAATTTACTGCTTGTCTTTTCTGGGACTTTGAATGACCTAGCCTCTAAGGTTCTTCTTCCTACTCCCTAGGCTTCCCAACACCTCACCTACCTTCCCTGAGACTTCACACTGACGGTACACTTTCTTTCTTTCTTTGAACTTAAAAACAAAACTCATATAGTTACCAGTAGATTCAGAAAATGCTTTGCCTAAATTCAAATCCCCTTCATGAGAGAAGTTCCAGAGAAAATAAGGTTGGCAGTAATACACCTTTATCTAATAAGGACTACATGTGACAAACCCATAGCTAGCGTCATCTTAATGGAGAAAAACTCAATATAATATCATTAAAATCAAGAAAAAGACTAGTTGTCCACTGTCTCCACTACTGTCCAATAAAGTGCTCAAAGTCTTAGCTACACCATTATAATGAGAAGAGATGCAAATAGGAAAAGAACTCAAAGCATACTTGTTTTTGGATATTATGATGCTACACATAAGAGACTCGAAAGAATCCATGAGAAAACTCCTAGAACTAATTTGTATTTCCCACACAGTGTCTGGGTAAAAAATAGACATCAATAGTTTTTCTATATACCAATGTGAAACACACTGAGGAAGAAATCACAGATACAATTACATTCGCAATAGCCTTTTAAAAAACTCTCAGAGTTAAATCTAATCAAGGAGGTGAAGGACTTCTCCAATGGAAACTTTAAAACTTATGAAGACTTTAGAAGATGGCAAGTTTTCCCATGCTCGTGGGTTGTCACAATAGTGTGAAAATGATAATCCTACCAAAAGCAATTTACAGATTCATTCAATTCTAATCAAAATCCCCATGCCACTATTCACAGAAATAGAAAAAAAATCTTAAAATTATTAAGGAAACATAAAAGACCCTGGATGGCCAAGGCAATCCTGAGCAAAAAAGAATATACCTGATATCAAGTTATTCAACAGAATTTATAGTACTAAAGAGCACTGTAGTGACATGGGCGCACACACACACACACAGAGAGAGAGAGAGAGAGAGAGAGAGAGAGAGAGAGAGAGAGAGAGAGAGAGAGAGAGAGAGAGAGAGAGAGAGAGAGAAAGTGAGAGAGAGAGAGAGAGAGAGAGAGAGAGAGAGAGAGAGAGAGAGAGAGAGAGAGAGAAATTAATCAAGGAAACAACATAAAAGTCCCAAATAGGAGTCCATGCAGCTATCAACATCTGATTTTTTACAAAAATGGAAAGACAACATTTTCAACAAACAGTGTTGGGAAGACTGATGTCTGCATACAGAACAATGTAGTTAGACCTGCCCTGTTAAAAAACTTACAAATGGATCAAAGTCCTCAATGTAATATATGAAATTCTGTAACTGCTAGAAGGGATGGGAGAGAGTAGACTACAACATATAGGAATAGGTAAGAATGTTATAATTGGAACTACAGTCACTCAGAAATAAGGCTAACAATTGACAAAGGAAGCTCATGAAACTAAAAAGCTTCTGTACAACAAAGGAAACAGTCAATATGGTGAAGAGGCAACCTACAGAATAGAAGAAATTCTTTTTCAGCTATATATCTGAAAAAGGATTAATGTCTAGAATACATGAAAAACTAAACAAGTAAATAAAAACCCCAATTAAAAATGGAATATAGGTCTAAACAGATAATTCTCAAAAGAATAAATAGTAACGGGTAATAAACACTTCTGAAGAGTGTTTATTATCATTAGCCATCAGAGAAATGCAAATTATAAAACTGCTCTGAGATTCTGTTCACCCCTAGTCAGAATGGCCATCATTGAGAAACCAGATGAAAACAAATACTGGCAATGATTTGTGGAAATAGGATTCATTGTTGGTGAAGTGTAAACTTTTGTAGCCATTAAGAAAAAGTGTGGAAATTCTTCTAAAACAGTGGTTTTCAACTTTTCTATCTAATGCTGTGACCCTTTAATGCAGTTCCTTATGTTGTGGTGTCCCCCAATCATAAAATTGTTTTTGGTGCTACTTCATAATTGTAATTTTGCTACTGTTATGAAACCTAATGTAAATGTCTGATATGCAGGATATCTGACACGTAACCCCTGTGAAAGGGTCATACAGCCCCCAAAGAGTCACAACCCACAGGCTGAGAACCACTGCTCTAAAAGTTTAAGATAGAACCACCACACGTTCCAGTTGTTCTTCTCTTGGACATAGACACAAATGATATTCTATATCCTACTACAGAAATACTTGCTCATCCATGTTTAAACTTGCTTTGTTCAAACTAGCTAAGAAATGGAAACAGTCTAGATGTCCACCAACTAATGACTAGATAATGAAAATATGGTACAGTGGGACTTCACTTAGCTGCAAAGATAAATGATGCAATGAAATTTGGAGGTAAATGGGTGGCTCTAAAAAATTAGATCCCGAGTGAGGTTAGCCAGGCACAGAAAAACAAACACCACACTATCCATCATATGTACACCTCACATCCTCCATTATATATAGCTCCCAGCTTCAAATCTTTAATTTTGTAAGTTCAATTTAGAGTACTAGTAGAAGACAGGAATCTAGAAAGGGTCCAGGGTGGGAATGGTCACAGGAATTGGAAATAATCAAGCTGGAAGGGAGCTGAATCCTCCACCTGACAGGTAGTTTTTGTAGTTCTAGAAGCACCTAGGTGGACTACTGGGGAAGAAATGGTATCAATGGTCTCACACAGCTGTGAACTCTGTGACCTAAAAAACCAACCTGGAGAGCTAGAGGGACACTTTTGTGCAATACTGTCCCTACCATGGGGGTAAACAACTTCTGATTGGATTTGATGCCTACTCAACAGGAGAGAATCCATGTCTATTTCTGTAAATCTAATCACATACCCATAGCTGTGGAAATCATAGTCTCTAGCAGTGAATAGAGATCTATGTTGTTTAGCAACTGAAATAGATTAAGTTACCTTCTAAATATTTGTTTATACCCATAGAGATACACTACTCTCAGCCTCACCAAGAAGCTTCTATTTCCGGTAAACTGTAGTTAAAACAGAGACTTATAACTGCAGGGTACTAAGAACATGTGAGGGATGGGTGTTCAGCCCTAAATAAGACATTTATACCACCCTGTCCATAGTTCATGGGATACTGAAAATAGAAGCAAAGTGGAAAAGAATGTAAGAGATGATATAGAGAGAAGGCTATAAAATATCATCTGACACAGCTGTGCAACCACAAATTCAAAGCAACCAAGGATACCTTCACTAAGTATGCCCAAGAATTAAAATGTTGACTAACAGTTCAGTATGGCTAGGGGAGGGTCTCAGGAGGGTCTGTTCTTCACAGTTGGACTATTTGCTACTGATAGATTTAGGGAGAAAGGGAGCCATTGCCCTTAATTGTATGTTCAATGATAATTCCACCAGGTTCCAATGGATAGTTCTAATTTAATGGTCACACTGATGGATAAAGTATAGTACCTATACAAATTAGACTTTTGTTATAACAAAAATAAAATTATAATATTTGCAAGAAAATGAACAGACCTGGTTATCATTATGTTAAACCAACTGTGCTAGCCTAAGAAAGACAAAGATTGCACATTTTTTCTTCTACGTAGAATCCCGAGTGTGTTTGCGTGTGATGGAACTAGAAAGGGATCATAAGAGGGAGGAAGGTATTGTAAGAAGAGAGAAAGGAAGAGAATACATGTAATATGAAGACATAAAAGGTACTGCTCATAAAAGGACTGGCATATTTTAGTCCTTTATATTGACTGTAAAAGTAGACTTGAAACTGGTGGACATTGTCTTCCAGCTATACATGTTAGTGTCTCATAGGTGAAACAGATTTCCTTCATTTTTATATATCTCTCATTTTTAAAATAGGAATAAAAGGTAGACTCTATTTTCTGTCCCTAAAAATCCCAGGCTTCAACTGTCTGCTGTGGTAGTCTCAAAATAGTTTCACAATGTGTAATTTTCTTTTATCAGATTTCCTTCAGTCAACAGAGTAATAGATGGCCAGCTGCTACACTGTATATTTTATAACAATCACTTTTGCTTAAGACAAAAGCAAAAAAATATGACTCCTTGTGTTCTGGGTGTCTAAACACTAAACATCTATGTGGCTTTTAAGATGAGTAGCAATTTTCCTGTTACCCAAACTCTCCTAGCTTACTTTTCATCATTTAACCAAATTGCATTTCTGTAACTTCTGCAAGACAATTTTCACATAAAAACTTACTATCTGGAGAATTCCAATGCCAATTATCTAAAATGTGCTTTTGCATTTTTATTATACTGACTAGAATTTAGAAGTAGTTGGGATGTTATTATGAACAACTTACTTGGTTTGTGTCAGATCAACTAAGATGAGATCTTTCTCTAGAAGTACAGCAACAGCATAGGGTTCTTGACATTCTACAACAAAAAGAAAGTATTGAAAAGTTTCCATACTGCATATTTTATTTAAACCACCAACATTGCATTTCCTTTATCTCATATAGAGATGGTATTTAAATGATGAGAAAACCAAATTGTGAACCAAAGTGACAAAGAATACTTTAATAAAATGTTTTATTTGACAAATATAATGTTAAGTTCTCTAACAGAAGTAGGAAAATGACCATATGTATAGTACATAGTAAATACATTTCAAAAATCATGGAGAGATGGCAATCCTGGACTAATATAGAGTGAGAGTGTCACAAAACTTTATGATCACTATCGTACTCATCCATAACCTTAGTGTTTTAGATCGGAATCATGCCTACTAGGAGACACACTAAGACTGCACTAACTCTACTTCTCTGGGATATGATACACAATCACCTCACTATGATAGTGAAACAGTTAGAGTTGGATGTATACTTCAAGTCAATATGGTTTAGTGTACTCTTGTAGATTATTCCTGTGTGCATGAGTACAAGCCTACAGAAATCAAAAGTCAGGTTTCTAAAACCCAATCTTCTTCCCATTGTTCCTTTCCCTCCTATTCTTGCTCCATTATATCCCAGAAACTGTCTCAAAAACCAAAGGCCATATGGGGAATAAGACTAACAATAAATCTTTCTCATGGAGTTTTTGTTCTAGAGAGGTTTACAAGTTGTGAACAGTGAAGAAATAAGAATTCAGGAACTACTATGAGCTATAAGTAAATAAGGGTAATGGTATAAAATGTAACTTGTGTTAAGATGGGGAGCAGTGATTTAGTTAAGAGGCAAAGAAAGTATTGTTTTCCATTTACAATAAAGGCCTAGTGGGGAAAGCCACAGTGAAAATAGTGTTCTCAGTTTTAGGAAACTGTGTATAAGAAAACATTTCATATGCATGATCTTTGATTCTCAGTAGCTAGAGTGTTATTTTTTCCATACTGTTTAGAAAGTATGTCGAAAGAGGCATAGGATTATCAACCATTGGCTAATCTGAAATTGAAACCTAGGGCTTTAAACTCCAACTTCCATTTTGTTTTTATTATACCAGCAGTTTCTACTGACTAGTTGAAAAAGTATTTAACCTAAACTCAGTAATCACTTGGAAGATGTTTCCTACAGAGGGCTGAAGTTTTGGGTGGGAAATTTAAAAGCTGGTGTAGACAGCCTTCAGAGTAACTTCCAAGCCTGAGAAGCTACAGTGCCTACACAAGTTTATGTTTATAACCAACATTCACACGAGAGAAAAAACACAAAAGCAAACAAGTAAATGAGAACAAGGGTTAGAACTTGCTGGTGTTTAGGTAGTTATCTCTATGGCAATAGGTAGACTGCTACAATCCAATATCCATACTGTTCTCATCCTCAGATGTTCCCACTATTTATCTCTAGCATCGTTTAAAGTTTCTCAGTGTTGTTTTCATACAATTTGGCTCTTAGTTTGAAGAACAGTAGGGTTCCATATGAGTATTTATTTCCTCCTTGTCAGCTCTCCTTAGGAACACCATTGGTTAGGTTTATAGCAAATGTTAGAAGATAAAATGGCCGAGGCACTACCATGTGTGAACCAAAGTCATAGGTTAATTAAAATTTTAGATGGTTACATCTATCAAAAGTTGGTTGTTCCTACACAAATAAAAACTGGCAACAGAAGTTTCACCTTTGTAAAAGCCCTTTATATATTGTGATAGCTACTAAAGAATTGTTTATGAATCAATGTTGAGTTCAATTCATATTAGTTATATTTCTTGACTTGAAGTTTCTTTTCCACTGAAATGGCACAATTATAACTACCTTAATCTGTTATAAAAGTTATATGAATCATACATGATGCTATTTATATCTAGTAGATTGCAATGATAGTGCCTCTTTAGGTTGGTGTGTCTCATCTTTTAACCCTTGCTCCTACTAATTAAGGGTGAAAAAATTTCTATCACAATTGTTATTCTAAAGATAATGCATCATTTGAGAGGCTTAGACATGGCTGGCCAACTAAATGTAGATGTGAAATGGCAAGCTCTAATTAGAGTCATTACTCTAGGTGATGATCCCATTAACAATGTTTAAACATTTGAGTTTTGTGAGAATGAGTTAAATCATCAAATGTCATAAAAGTATCAGCAGTATTAAAATTATGAATGACTTGGTTTAGCTTGGGAATGACATTATTATTTAGCTGTAAAAGTTGGAATTTCCTCTTAACTACTATGGAGGAATAATTAAAATATATTAACAAGATAATATAGGACAGTGCATAGAATATTGTGTCATATGTAGAAAAAACAAGATAATGTGGAGTGGGTGGGGGTTGGGTGGGGGAGTGAGAGAAGGGGAAGGAGTGGGAACTGTGGTTGGTATATAAAATGAATAAAAAATTTAAAATAAAAAATGCTGTGACTGTGTGTGAAACATGTAGTGGTTTGGGCTTTGCTTTAATATTTTATTTTTGTTCATTTTGAAGCAAAGACTCACACACTATAGCATAAACTGTACTAAAACTCACTATGTAGCTTAGGCTGGTCTTGAACTCATGACAATCCTCTTGCTTCAGTTTCCCCAGTTCTGAGATTATATGAGCGAAACAACACACCCAGCTACATTAAATATATATTTCTTATAAATGTCTTTGGTGCAGTTTGGATTTTGAGAGTCTCTCTAGAAACCTGCATATTCGTTGGACAAACCCTACTAAAACTAGTGCTTTCTTTCATCTTAGTATTTCCTCAAAGTTCTTCTGTTACTCTCCAAACTTCTCCAAAACCCTTAGTTGTTTTCTTCTAAATTGATCTTACCAAAGCCCACAATTTATAAAACCTTTACTCAATATTCTCAATAAGGTCTGTTTAAATCCTATTTCTCTACTGAGGCTTTACATGAATATTTCAGTCATTTAACCAGCCATAAAAAGGTGGATTATTTATAATGTGAACCATATAATTCATCATTATAATCATGCATTACTTCAATTCAACAATTCATAGTTATTTCATTGACCCAACCAGACTTTATGTAAAGATTATGTTCATATTTCTATAAGCTTAACAAGTACTTATAGTATTGAGACCACAGTAACTTTCATTAAATAGATGTTGATTAAAAATGTAGGTCAGTTGTCTCTAGTAACTCTTGAAATAAAGTGCTACATTAATTGTTATCTATTATATATTTTTAAAAAGTTAAATCATTTAAAGGAAATCAATATATTTAGTAATGAAACACAACATATGTATTTCCATAGTTAACAAAATATGTTCATTTACCTTTCCACTGATGGTATTTGGGCAAAATTATTCCCTTTCTATACATGATAAGTAAAACATGTAAGTATCTTAGTGGCTAGTAAGTGTCAGAGGTGAATCATAAATCCAAATATTCTGTCCCAAGTCAAGTTTTAGTCTTATATCTACAAGTTCCCTATATTGTTTTGACCATAAATTAATATTTCTGGTTTACTTTTTAACCATTTTAGATTTCTTTATTTTATCACCATTAGATTTTTTGTATGAGTTTAGACTAGTTTTATGTTTAAAAAGGTTTTGCATCTTTACTCAAGATGATAAATACACACATGCATCTCTCCTCCTGACGGTCTTATGACTATTCTCCAAATTAAAACAAATCACTAACCACACATCAGCAATCCTAGAGTAATCAGGTGTGCTGCAGTTGCATCTGAAGCAAAGGCAGATGTGAAGGAGATGCAGCACCACCAGAGTTACAGATCACTGATATCAGGTAAGTGCTTTAACTTTGATTGGCATTGGGAAGGGATGGGTGGAGCTGGTCTAGGAGAGACTATTAGGAGACCTCAGTTTCCCCAAGTGACTTCACCCTGGACCCCTATCGGACCCTCCCAGCTCAGCTTCCACCATCCTTATCAAAGTTTAAAGCACTTACCTGATATTAGAACCTGAAACGCCAGCACTGCTGCACTACATCTGTCTTACTTCCAGTTTGCCAAGTAGGTACAATTGCAGAACCTGCGCCAGCAACTGTAGCTCAGTGTTGTACCACAATGGATATCTGCTGCCAAAACTGAAAATATTTAACCTTAATTTCATTAGGAACTTGTCATTTCAAAATGATTTTTTTTCTAAAACTGAATGTTTCATTTTTATCTACTTACCATTTGGATAAGGTGTTTCACATAAAGTTAGAAATTCAACAATAGGATGATCCATTTCAAGTACTGTGATTGCTTTTCCATGCATGATGGTTAAACTTGGTCTTCTGCAAGCTTTGTCATATGACAGCCCACCAGAGAATATTATAAATGGTTCACTACATAGGGGGAGAAAGGGCAATGAGACTGTATTCTTTAAAATAACACCAAGTCAAAACATAAGCCTTTAAATAATGGGTTCAGAGGAGATTGTCCACAATACAAATGGCCTTCCTGACCTGAGTTTCTCAGCTAACAATAACTATTTCATCAACTCCCTTTTCCGATCTATACTCTAGCTACTAGACTAACTAAAGTGTAAAGATAGTTGAATGGCATTGGGAAAAGACAAGCTGGAGTGAAGTGGAGGTACTCACTGACTCTCAAAGGGACATATTTGTACACTTTATTTGGCTACCAAATTCTATATCACTGTCATTAGAACATCAGTTTATGTTATAATATTCAATTAATGAGTGGGCATGTGGGACCCAAGTCCCTCAGATGAAAAAGAGGGGCAGATTTTAATACAAAATGAAGTGTCACAGGGGAAAGCTCAGAATGATAGATGAGAACATGAAAATTCTAGATAATGAAGTTTCTGTAGTAAAAGGTTTATGAGCAGATAGAAAAATAATATGTAGATGAATAATAATTTGTCAAGAATATCTCCTCAGTTTTATGCATATCCAGCAAGCTCTAGCTGGCTCAAATAACTTCACATATAATTTTATTCTATTACTTTATTACTTTTTTATTTCTGAAATTAAAACACAATTGCATCATTTTCTCCCTTCCCTTTCTTCCCTCCAACCCCTTCCATGTACCCTCCTTTGCTCTCTCTCAATTTATGGCCTTTTTCTTTGTTTACACACACACACACACACACACACACACACACACACACACACACACACTCTCACACCCTGTTCAGTATATATATTTTACTTTTCAAGATACAAATAAGTAATAAACTGAGTGTCACTCATTTCTCATTTTTGTTGGGTTGAGACTGTTCTGGGAGAGAGGGGAGGTTGTGGGGGGGACTAGGAAGAGTGGAGGGAGGGGAAACTGTGGTCAGCATGTAATAATGTATGAGAGAAAAAAGAGAAAGAGACAAGAAGAAAGAAAGAAAGAAAGAAAAGAAAGAAAGAAAAAGAAAGAAAGAAAGAAAGAAAGAAAGAAAAGAAAAGAAAAGAAAAGAAGAAAGAAAGGTGGCGCATGCCTTTAATCCCAGCACTCAGGAGGCAGAGGCAGGTGTATCTTTGTGAGTTCGAGGCCAGCCTGGGCTACAGAGCGAGATCCAGGGAAGGTGCAAAGCTACACAGAGAAACCCTGTCTCCAAAAACCAAAAAAAAGAGAAGAAGGAAGGAAGGAGGGGATGGGAATGGAGGAGAGGGGAATGGAGGAGAGGGGAAGGGAGGGGAGGGGAGGGGAGGGGAGGGGAGGGGGGAGGGGGAGGGGAGGGGAGGGGAGGGGAGGAGGGAAGGGAAGGGAAGGGAAGGGAAGGGAAGGGAAGGGAAGGGAAGGGAAGGGAAGGGAAGGGGGAGGGAAGGGAAGGGGGAGGGAAGGGAAGCGGGAGGGAAGGGAAGGGAAGCGGGAGGGAAGGGAAGGGAAGCGGGAGGGAAGGGAAGCGGGAGGGAAGGGAAGAAAGAAAGAAAGAAAAAGTGAGAGAGAAATGTACTCAACGTGTATTCCTGTATATGTCCTTTAGGGCATTTACAGAGACAACTGTCACATGGAATAGCAAGTGAAGGCAGTAATGGAAGAAGACCTGTGCTGAAGGTTGGAAGTACTGTCCAGCAGTTTGGGGTTCAGGGAGGACCTTCTCTTTGTTTTTTATTAAAGTTTTTAATTGCCCCAAAATTAATAGATGATAGATAGAAAATTGATAATATTTACAATCCAGTTAAACCCTTGTCCTTTTTCTATGCCTCCCCCACAAATATCAACCAAACTCCTTCTCATGCTATTTAAAAACCACTCGTTTTTTGTCTTGGTCTTTGCTACTAGAGCTGACCAAATTCAAAAGCTGGCAGTAATGTATGTTTTAGCACACAAGTCAAATCCCACAGTGGGTGATAGACAGTTAAAACCAACTGAATCAAATTGAACATTGCTGAGCACATCACAGGAGTATATTTTCAAAACGACACGTTTGTAACCAAACAGAAGCCATCAAGTCCACGGATCATAAGATTTATCATGGGAAAAGCATCTCAGGCTTTACATGAAATGGTTTGCTCTCGTTTTGCTGTAACCTATAGAAAAGACTGAACACTAATTGATAATTCAATGGATACTATAGTCCTTAGGACAGCCAACACTGAAGTAAAGAAAAATTTCTTTTGAAGAAAATGACATAAGTGAAAAGGAAAACCGAATAAAGCTATAAGCTGCTTGGAACAATTAATATAATTTCCTGACCCTCAAGAGTCCTGAGAGTTTGCACTGTATAAAATGTGATATATACTACTGAATCCAAAGGCACAAGAAAACTTCTAATTACAAATAGTATTTTAATAAGAGAAGAATTACATAAGGTTTTGTTTCCATCCACAATGTTTAAATTTGGAATATTTTATTTCTTTAGTTATACTATATTAAACTGGCCTGCTAAAGAGATATTGATAATTTATCATAATTTTGTAATATTAAAACTTCAGGACAGGAAATTTTAACAAACATAATTGTATCTATGATGCTAAGAGCACATTACAATATGAGCAAGTAACTAATCTAAAGTAGGAATTTTCAGTTTATAGTTCTGTTTAGGGGCTGACAAGATGGCTCAGCATGTCAAAGTGTTTGCTGCCCAAGCCTGCCTTCTGAGTTAGATCCCCGGAACCCACATGCACATACATGCACAATAATAACAATAGTAATAATAATAGTAATAACAACAACAAAAACAATAATAATGTTCAGGCAAGGTTTATTATGCTCATATTGGGTGGGAAAATACCATTAATAATAATTTAAATTAAAGAAGCAATGCAAAAATAGTGGACATGGTGTCTATAAATGTAATAAAATTGTATTATATGTTATATCATCTTATACATCTGAAAATTTAGTTCTTTTCCATTATGAAAATACATAACTTTATAATTCCAACTAAAGGTTTTCTCTCCAGTTTCAGTATGCAACATCCTAAATTCAGAGAGATCTGGTTATATATTTAAATTTCATAAGGAATATCAATAGATGCATAGATTTAGCTTAATGAACACTACTGTAAGTATTATAAATGCTTTAAAGTCCTCAGTTATTAGAATTAATATATATGATGTTAATATAAAGATAATTAAAATATGTTATTTGTTATTTTCAACATTCATAATAATCAATAAAAAATAAGTGATTGATTTAGAGAATTTATAATTCTATGACAATATAGCATATCAAAGATTGCTGGCTTCCTCTTACATATATTCACCAAGTACAGCCACATACCTGTTCCTGCAAGTTTTGTACTCTACTTTAAGAATCGGTTTACAAGACTCAGACTTTCTTCCTTCTCTTTGACTTTTTCCTAATGAAAGAAAAAAAGAATTAAATCTGATTTAAACTATACTGATCCATGAGAATTTTTAAAATTTCAGTTAAGAAATATAAGCATGGAACAATAATATAATGAAAAAAAAAAGAAAAGAAATCTACAAGCTTCTGGGGGTGAGTCATGTAGCTTCCTGCACTGTGACAGTAACCCCTGAACAGATTGCACCGTGGCAGGTGATACAAACATGCCTGAAGCCAAAGGCTCAAGCACAGCTTTAATCGTAGATACTGCTTACAGAAGAGAATGGGACAAGCACTATTTAATTTTTCCATCAATGATGATTAAGTTTGGAATAATTTTATTACTTTAGTTATATTGTTAAACTGGTCATTTTTATGAGTTAATGCATAGTAACATCAGTTTAAGCTAAAGATATTGGCTTATTCTTAAAGTACCCATATGTGACATAATAAGTCTATTTATTCTAATATTTTACCTTTTATCTCCATTCTTGAAGACGATTTTGCTAGATTTAGATTTATGGACAATATCAGGCCATGAGCTGAGAGTTATGTGGGAATTCATGTAATGTAACAACTACTTAATGATAGTCCATTATCTTCTAGTTTTAATATTTTCTAAATGAGGAATCCTTGGTGTTTTGAACTTTGCTTCCTCTATATAGAATGTGTTTTTTTCCTTCTGGTTGTTTTCAGACAACTTTTATGTCTTTTATTTGCAGCAACTTAAAAATGTTACGTCTCAACTTGTTGGGGTTTTTTTGTTTGTTTGTTTTATTTAAATTTATTCTATTAACAGTTCTAACAGGCTTCTTGAATTAATAACTTCCACAAAATTTTGTAACTTTTTTGCCATTTATCTATAATATATTTTGATGTTTGTTTCTTTTTCTGGAATATGAGTCAGCTTTGTTAGAATTTTTGTTGTGGAACACATCTATGAGTCTTAATTTTTATATTTGTTTTTGTCAATATTTTTGTTACAGATTTCAAGTAAACTAGTTCCAACTTAATGGAGATAAAAGGTAATTTCAAATAAAAGAAGCTCAATGAAATCATTTCAACAGACCTACATAAAATGCAAATATGTTCACAAATAAATGAAATTATCAAGAGTATTAATTATAATACATGTGATCACTTAAAATTAACAATAATATATCTGTGTATGATATGTAATTATAGTATAAATGATAATGAAGGTAGATAAATAGATCTATATGGCTACAAGATGTCTCTATATTATATGAAGTGTTAAAATTTTAGCACTAACATATTAAGTAGTTAAGGAAACATTGGGATACATGCAACAAACAATAGGAAAAAAACATAAAGTGCCCATGAATTAAAATGTATTGCTAATAATAATATTTAAATTATTTGAAAGTGGGAAAACAATGAAAAGCCACCAAATACAGTATGAACAACAGAAAACAATAAGAAGTAGATCTAAATCTAATCTTACTAGCAATTATATTTAATGTTAATGGACTAAACATACTAACCCTAAGACAGGAAAAAACAAGACATAAAATATGCTCTTTATAGAAGAGCTAATTGGCCAGGTGGCAGTGGCTCACACCTTTAATCCCATCTCTGTGAGTTTGAGGCCAGCCTGGTCTACAGAGCAAGATCCAGGACAGGCACCAAAACTACACAGAGAAACCCTGTCTTGAAAAACAAAAAACAAAAAGCGGAGGAGGAGGAGGAGGAGGAGGAGGAGGAGGAGGAGGAGGAGGAGGAGGAGGAGGAGAAGAAGAAGAAGAAGAAGAAGAAGAAGAAGAAGAAGAAGAAGAAGAAGAAGAAGAAGAAGAAGAAGAGCTGATTGATGTCCTCTGCCAGTCTGCAATATAAAGGAATTGGAAAAATTAAAGTTGTGAAGAGGCAATTCTATAGTCTCCATAATTTCTTTTCAAAGTATGTATCTTACCATGTGGAACTGTGGTTTGGAAAGGGCGACTTGGGCTTTTCAGGTTCCATAAAGTCAAGCTACCATCCGAATGGCTGCACATGAATTGTTTGCCCTCATGATGCCAATCAATTGAATGAATAGCCTGATAAAATAACAATAAAAAAACAAGTACGTGGGGAAAGTAGATATATTATATCATCATACACTCCAAAAACACTTTGACATAAAATTAATATACTGATAACATGTTAAAATAATTGTTTTCTCACCCAGGTTAGGCTGTCTTTGGCTTCAATACACTACACACCTTTAAAAGGCTATCAAAACTCATTTACTTAAATAACAATTTAAAATTTTTAATAACATTAGATCCCAGAACATTTTGATGTAAATTCTATGCCCTTCCTATATCCTACCATCCCTGTTTGAAAAATTACTTACATGGAAGTAAGAGTATAGTTATCAGAAGATAATTTCATGTAAGATGCAGGCCTTGTATCACTTAAAGCATATAATTTAAAAAATAATTTGAGCTAGCACCTGAAGGCATTCTATATGCCAGATTGCATGATATGCACTTTACATACAATGTATTATTTAATCATATAAAGGGCATTATTTTATTTTACTATTATTTCTTTGTTTTCATATGGTGAAATTGGCCTAGAGACTGAGATACTCATTTGCTTTTTAAAGCCACAGAAGTCAAAGCAAACTCCTTATCAAACCTATATTCTCAACTGTTACACAGTATTGCCTCAAGCATATAATATATTAATTGATTTAAAGCAAGTAAGATTTAATTTTTAAATTTTCAAGTGCATTATATAGTTTTGAGTTAGACAAGATTCAACAGTAATTCATTCATTTTTAAAGTTGTATTAATCCCTGTGGCAGTGTAGTATCTTTTATAATATAGATTTTAAAGAAAGATTTACTGAATAAGTAATAGATATTGCATTTCCAAATCTTTGGTATTCTTTGTGAATAAATTAATCACCATAATTTAAACATTGTGTTAAATACAACGAGACAAGTTCCATTGGATAAGAAAATAAAAAGGTGTATAAAACATCTCCTCCCTCCACAAGAAAGGGTGAAGGTTAATGTGGTTGAATATTAATCATATTTATTATTCAGAACTTTAAGCACATGTGTGCTTATATAATTACATAACTGAATTCTTTATGCAACCAAGTGTGAAATTTTCAACCAATATGTATAGAATTAGAGTTACAGCTAACTGATACCTTGACTAATCATTAAACATAAAAGTAATAAGATAGGTTCAGACCTTAATATAAGAGTAAGCAGAACATAAAAGGCAATATGAAATCCTGTACTTGTGGAATTTTGTTTTTCTTTTCTTTTTTTCTCACTCTAACCATAATTTCTGTGCAGAGACTATTTTCTTAACAGTCTCCAACATTTAGAGACAACATTCTTCATTGTCTTCTCTGTTTATTTTTGTCTTTTCTCTTTCTTTTCCCTTCTGCAGGTAGTTCAAACAAAATAGTTTCTTTTGCCAACTTTGCTGAACCTCAGTCAAACTACGTGGTCAGCAAAAGTAGAGGATGAGAAAGTGTACAGACCCAAAGCCTCATCTATGGTGATATATTGTGTCCCCCAAAATACTGTGCACCCATATAAACTTATCTGGGGTCAGAGAACAGAACACCCATAATATTAAACATAGAGGTTAGGCAGTGGTAGCACATGCCTTTAATCCTAGCATTCCAGAGGCAGAGATCCGTCTTGATCTCTGTGAGTTTAAAGCCACACTGGAAACAGCCAGGCATGGTGACTCATGCCTTTAATCCCAGGAAGTGATGGCTGAAAGCACAAAGGTATTTAAGGCTTGAGGACCTAGAACCAGGAACTAGAGCTGGTTAAGCTTTTAAGACTTTTGAGCAACAGTTCAGCTGAGATTCATTCTGGATGAGGACTCAGAGACTTCCAGTTTGAGGAAATAGGATCATCTGAGGAATTGGCAAGGTGAGGTGGCTGTGGCTTCTTCTGCTTCTCTGATCTTCCAGCATTCACCCAATAATGGGTTCTGGGTTTGTTTTTATTAATAAGACCTTCTAACAATTTGTGCTACACTCATCCTAACCCAGTGAAATCCTACCTACTGGGGAGGACAAAAAAATTATAGCCACTACTATAAATGAAATAGAATTACAGCAAATAGAGCAGTGATGTAAACATTGTCTTCTTTTAGAGATCAAGGTGTCAAATGGTGTATAACTAAGGAGCTGGTAAATGAGCTGATAGTGGGTATTTGATTTTTGTTTATTTAGTTACATCATATTATTCCCAGCAAAACAGGGACTTACTAGAAACCAAATATCAATAATCAATTCAAGAAAAACATAAAACAAAGAATTTGAAGGAAAAATACTAGTCATATTTTTTCAACAATGACTTTTTCTTGAAAACAAAAATTTAAAAACTATATAGCAATCTGACAAAAGGAAATATGCAGTTCCCATGGAATCAAAATATTATCCTCATGCCAAATTGAAATATTTCTCTGAGATTATTAAAGAAATAACAATATAAAGAAACAAAAAACCATAACTATTGTAGAAGAAAGTCTTTCCTTTTTATTATTTAGAAAAAATCCACTCTGTATTCTAGGCTGGCCTGGAATTTACTATTTAGCTCTAATTGGCTTTGAACTTATGGCAATTCTTCTGCCTCACCTTTTCAAGTAGTTGGGAGTAGAGGCATAATCTACAACAACTAGCTGAAGTAACTTTTTGCAGCTAATTATTTTTCAATATAATATTGGATTTCCAAACAAAAATTCAACTCATCTATGACTATTCATCAAGGGACAGTTAGATAGTTCAAATAGCTTTTTGGTGCCTACAGAATTAATGGAATTTTGAAATACAAAAGAGACAAGAAGAGAGTTCATAATGAGAAAGCAAATACCAGTAGCAAAATCATGAAGGTAAGAAGTAAGTTATTTCAGTAAGAAAAAGTGCACAACAAGTCCCAAATGTGTGAACTTTTTAGAAAGATGCATAAATTATACTTTTTTTAAAAAAGTACCACTGCTTTAGTTTTCATTTTCAGACTCTGTTAACAGGAGTCATTTGAAGGTCCTGATGTAGAGAATCACATGGTCTGATTATATCTTTGAAAGAGAATCTATTAATGAAGAATATACAGAGAGGCAGATGTTAAGATACTCATAACCAGTCAAGCAGTTTAACACAGGGTATTGGGTGTAGAAATGACAGAGTGGAAATAAGAGATTGGTAATAATAACAAAGACAAAATAAAAAGCCTATAGAAACTGATTGCATATGATACATTGAAGAAGAGCAAAATAGAAAGCATTAGTATGGACATTCTAAACTGGTTTTAAAAGAAAAAGAACACAGAAAGTGGTATGAGTAATCAAATATAAATTCAGTTCTGGTGGTATTTATTTAGACTTACCTATTACATTGCTAGACATTTAAATATAAAGCTTAAGAGAAAGGTAAAGGCCGGGGATTTTTAGTTGTATTAAGCGTATTGCTTATACAGGTAGTATTAGAAATGAGAACCTGTACAAATAAACATAAATTAGAGGAAGCATCTAAAGACAGACATTTTTTGAGGTGGGAGGGCTCACTTCATCATTCAGCCAGCCTCAAACTAGTGACACATTTTGTCTTCCTGCCTTAGTCTCTCAAATACCTAGTATATGCCAGTGTACCAGACTTGAGAAACCATAATTTAAATGAATCAGAGATGGACAAAAGAGGCATAATAAATGAGATAGGCACAAACAAGAAAAGAAACAATTTTAAGAATGGCGTAGTACTGAGAAGAGTATATATGATGTTTAAATCACCTTAGAGACTTATTAAAGATAGCTTCTAGATATGACAAAGTGCTAAGAAAGTTTGCAAAGTTTTGCAGTAAAATAAAGTTTATAATTATCTCTATTAGAATGACAGGACCTAATAAAGACGTTTATTTTAAGAATGAAAAAAAAAAAAAAGAATGACAGGACCTACAAATATGTAGTATAATAAGTGATATAATTTATTTATGTGTATATATAATTTAAGTCAATATGTAAAATAATCTCTGTGCATAAATTATATATACAATCATACTCTATTAACTCAGAATATTTCTAATCTTTATTTAAAAGTTCAATTTCAGAATTAATATGCTTACTTCTTAAGGTTGGAAATTTTTAGGCTAAAGAAAAACATAATTTTCAGCATTTTTCTTTTGGTTTCTCATTGACCTGTTCTTTTCTGATTCTAAAAGGCTAAATAGTGTTTGGATTTTTCCCTAGCTCTTAGTCTTGCAAAAAGGATAAATATTCATACTCTATCTTTGCATTTTGTGTATTTAACAACAGCAAAAAGCTAGCTTAGCTCTATGGAGTCGCTTTTCCTTATGATTCAGATATACTGGAAGTAGGTATGAAGAACATAATTGCATGAAATTGTTTGCATGGCTGTTTTTCACCAGTCATCACCAAATTGCCCATACACTACACAATTTCTGGACTCTTTGGCAATATAACTGTATCATATAAATGATAAAATATTAGTTTGAGAGAACCATTAAAAAAGGAACTGTGGCCGGGCGGTGGTGGCGCACGCCTTTAATCCCAGCACTCGGGAGGCAGAGCCAGGCGGATCTCTGTGAGTTCGAGGCCAGCCTGGTCTACAGAGCGAGATCCAGGAAAGGCGCAAAGCTACACAGAGAAACCCTGTCTCGAAAAACCAAAAAAAAAAAAAAAAAAAAAAAAAAAAAAAAAGGAACTGTGGGTTGGGCCATGGTAGCACATGCCTTTAATCCCAGCACTTGGGAGGCAGAGCCAGGCAGATCTCTGAGTTCGAGGCCAGCCTGGTCTACAGAGTGAATTTCAGGACAGGCTCCAAAGCTACACAGAGAAGCTCTGTCTCAAAGGAAAAAAAAAGAAAGAAAAGAAAAAAAGAAATGAACTGTGGATTTTATGAAATACAATTGTTAGCAAGATTTTTTTTTTTTAGTAATGTGTATATATACATGTGTGGGTATATGCACATGAGTACAGTGCCTAAGAAGGCTAGAAGAGGGAATCAGATACCATGGAGCTGGAGTTACATGTAGTTGTGAGTTACCACACCCTGTGCAAGAGCAGGCCATGCTCTTAAACATTAAGACATTTCTCTAGCCCATGAAATGTATCTTTAGCCACCAAAACTTTAAAATTTTAATTGTTATGATGTGATAGGAAAGAAAACGTTGAGTATTCTAAGGCAACTAGAAGTCCATTGGGTGATAGTTTTTTATTCCTCTAATGTAAAAATGAAGTGTTCTAAACGAACTAGATGGGACTCTAGTTTACTTCCATGCTCCCTTAAGTCATGTGACAATCTACCCATACAAGAGCAGATGTTAACTGGGCAGAGATTTTTGATCTGTATTTTTCTTCTGTCTTGCCCCACTCCTGCCTTACTTTTAATCTAAGGGACTAGATGATCACCATTGCTTCCAAGTTACAAGAAATGATTTCCCTTTTCATCTTCTTTTTCGGCTGCAATGTTTTTATAGTAGTTTCTTCTAGATGGGAGAATAATTAAAGGCTTAGAATCAAGAGACCAACTGAAATGTCATCTGGGAGAAACCAAATCAAGACTCAATTATACATAACAAAGTTCACCTCAAGATACTTATTGTCATTTATTTGGTCTTATGCACAAAACATTTCATTATTCTAATAAGACAAATAATAGAAGGGAAAGGCTTTTCAAACTGTCTTGAACTCTTAGCCACAGAAAATGAATTTTTTAGGAAGGTTTGAATAGTGCCTTTAGAAACCTGAAAATCAAGAAGCAAGATGTGAGTATGGAACCTACATAAAAGAAAAGGAGATGCGACAAATCAAGAATACATAGGAGAAACATATATACAAAACAAAAAATAGGTAATAATCTCCTTCAATTGGCTGTCAAGGCAGAATTCCCATTCAAAAATAATCAACAGTTGAAACTTATACAAATAACAAAAGAATATTAACACTGAGTAAGGGCAGGATACCAGTGATAAAAAATACTAGTAAAGCACAAAACTTCAGAGTGTTCAGAAAAGTGACACATAGTCCTCAAACTTTTCAAAAATGTCAGCAGAAATCACTTACCTCATCATAATAAACCCTGAGTTCTGCTCTTTTAGATTTCAAGTCCCAGAATACTACAGTACCATTTTCATAACCTATCAGCAGCTGGAAAACAGTAAAACAACCATTTCTTAATTCTGACATTAATTTTTAACTGTGTTCAAATAAAAACTAATATTACTATAAAGAAAAACCATGCTACACAACACAGCCTGATTTCTACTACCTTTTCCAGCACTTAAATGTTTCCTAATGTAAGAATTTTTTCAAAGATGTTGATGTAGCAATTAAAAACAAATTTAAGGGTCAATAATCTTTGCTACAATATGAATATAACCAGAGAACTCTGCTGGGTTTCAAAGAACAAGAAAACATTTAAATTATATTTTATGTAAAAATGGAAAGATAAATAGAATAGAAAATGAAGACAAAATAAATGATGAAGTGTTATATTTAATTGGCTTCCAATATACCATTCAGTACTATACACTTGAAAAAGTAGATAAAAAGTTTTAAATTTCTTTATATCAACACTATTTACTTTGTGCAAATATTTTATGATATTCTCACCTATGATGCTGATACAGTCCTTCATTCTGGGGATGGATCAAATGTAGGACCTTGTACATGTTAGGCATAACATGCCACTGGGCTACAACCAAAGCCTTGAGTAAATATTTTAAACCAGTGGCTTATACACCTTCAGAAGTTAAAGCTTTTTTTTTTAAAAAAAATTCTCTATCTTATTAATATTAGCTAATTGTAGCCTACAGTATAAACTTGGCAGGTTTTAAAATCACCCTGGAAACAAATGTCTGTGGGGGCTTTCTAGATTAGACTAATTGAGGTGAGTAGACCTATCCTAAACGTAGATGGCACCATTCCATGACCTAGGGCTCTGACCACCTAAACAGGAGAAAGCTTGCTGAGCATAAGCATCCATCACTCTTTACTTCCTGACTGTGGATATAATGTGATCTGCAGCATCATGCTTCTGTCTCTATGCCTTCCCCACCATGATAGACTTTCCTTCAATCACAAACCAAAATAACCTCCTAATTTCATAAACTACTTTGGTCAGATATTTTGTTGTAGCAATAAGGAAAGTAACTGTCAATACACTGGTGTTTGTATTTAAATCAATATAGAATACTGGAAAAGTAATAGTCTTCCTTTTAAAACAGAAGAATATGAAATAGTTAAAATTGAAATATTATCAAAGAGATATATTTTTACTTATTCTATTTATGTTTTTATGTTTATGATATTTTGCCTGAATTGTATGTGCACCACATGCATGCCTGGTGCCTGTTGAAGCCAGAAGAGTCACTGGACCTGGAGCTACAGTCAGTTGTGAGCTACCAAGTGGGTGTTGGGACCTGAACCGAGATCGTCTTCAACAGTAACAAGTATGGTCAACCACTGATCCATTGCTCTAGCCCTTAGAGTTATTTTTTAAGCCATATTTTATACCCAAAAGCTTAGTTATAGAGCTACACATGATAATGTTTAAATTGATTTAACAAAAGTGTTGAGCTTTCCGACATGCTAAATTAAAAGACATTATTTTTAAAAGTTAAAATGGAGGGTTTAAAGGGAAGAAAGGGAAGGGGGAAATGATGTAATTATATTAACCTCAAAAATAAAAGAAAAAACTCTAAAAAATGTTCAATATCCTTAGTCATCATGAAGATGCAAATTAAAACTATTTTGAGATTTCATCTTAACCCCAAACAGAAAGGCTAAGATAAAATAAATAATACCCCCAGCCAACAAAAACAACAAAAAAAGACAACAAACGCTGATGTGAAACGGAGAAAGAGGAAAAATTTACTCACTACTGGTGGAAGTGTAAACTGGTGTAGCTACTGTGGTGGTTCTTCAGAAAGCTAGAGATAGGTCTACCATGTGATCCAGCCTTACCACCCGTGGACATACGCAAAGAATTGTACTTCTTACTACAGAGATACTTGCTTATCCATGTTCATTACTGCTCCTATTCACAATAGTCAGCAAAAAGAAACAGCCTAGATGCCCATCAACTGATGAAATGCATAATGAAATGTGATACATTTATACAGTGCTATATTATTCAACCATAAAGAAAAATGAAATTATAAAATATTCAGATAAATAGATAGAACTGGAGGAAAAAGAGCAACAACCACCTGAGTGAGATAACCCAGACCCAGAAAGATGCTCTGTGAGATGTAATCCATAGCTGGTATGATTACTGAGACCAAGGACTCTTGGCTATACAAGTCATAGGCCCTAGGGGAGAACCAACCACTATTATTTTGCTAAATGGACTTTGTATTAAAACAACTCCTAATGGCTTACTGCTATACCCATAGAAGAATGTGTCTCTCATCCCTCATCACAAAAGCTTTGTGCAGTAAATGAAAATTAAAACAGAGTGCCACTACTGGTCAATGTGTAGAAAATAAGAGACTGCAGATTAGATGGGTTTAAAAAGAGAGAGAAAACAAGAAGTTGTATGGGTAGGGAGTTGAGGTTGAATATGGAAGGAGTTGGGGATGGGTCTGAACAGAATATAATATATGAAATTGTCAAAGAATTAACAAAAATATTTTTGAATACCACATATGAGATACACATAAATATTAATTGAAATTTATATTTTTATAAGTACATATAAAAGAAAAATTACTAATATTGTCAATAGCTAAACAATTGTTAAATAATAGAAATCTTCATCCAAAGGGGAAAATAAACTCAGCATTAACGAAGATATATTCATTTACAGCTTTGTGTAAGTTTTTACAGCTTCAGGTTCACAAAGTCCCTTTTTTCCTTTAGGGTGAGAAGAGATCATTTTAATCATCAAGGGAATTTTATTAAAGTGTCTTTCATATCAGTTTTCTTTATGCTTTTCTTTTTCTATTAATATATAAAGTATATTGATTTTTAAAAGTTAAACTATACTCTAAGGATGATGAAAAATTGGTTGTGATCTTTTGTGACTTTTCATTCACATTTTGCTTGTTTATTCTGCTGAGGTGTGGTCTTGTTGTGCTGACCCGGAATTGATGATCCAATTGATCCAGCCTCCCAAAGTGCTGGGAAGATAGGCATAAGCCAACGACCTGGCCTCATTTATTGTTTTTCTGCTTTTGTTTAATTAGTTAATTACATAATTAAAATAGCTTCTCTCCAAGCTGGTCTTGAACTATGTAGCCAACAATGACCTTGAACTTCTGGTTCTCCTGTCTCTACCTCTGCAGTACAGGCATGTGGTCCACCATATCCAGTTCATCTTTTTTTAATTGTATGAAGGGGTTTCATTATAATATTTCATATACATATAATGCTCTTTATTCATATTCACCCCCTTCTTATCCTTACTTCCCCCACCTTTCTACTTACACATCCCTAGTAGTCTCTCTTTTACTTTCACGTTCTTTACTTTCCTCCTATCTTACTTTTTACTCTTTACAATGACTTTCTATTACCAACCTGGTCCAAGATAGTCTTTGCAGAATCCACACATGGAATTCAGAAAGGATGAATCCTTGCCTACGACTCCTGTATCACTGTGTCATCCAAGTCTAATTGTACTAATCTCTGCAGCTACTTCGGAGATACAGGATTGCCTTTGGTAATCTTGGCAGGTGGAGATAGTTTCAGGAACTTCTGTTCTCTCTTCCTACTATACCTCTAATTACAATGTCAAGAAACCAAAGAGTCTTAATCCAAATCACTGAGAATATCTGTCCAAATTACACTTAAAGAAAAAATGATATATTTTATACGGATGGGTGGTGTACTTTGAGCTTAATCTTGGGCTAATATTTAATTTATTACCTGGTTACTTAGTTCATACAACTTATCATTTACAGGAGAACCACAGTATTGTTTTTGGATTTGATAATATTAATGCCTGCTTTGACCTTTTAGATAATTTTTCTGAAATTTTTTTCCTCTACAAATGATCAGTATTGTTCCTATATGTATTTATATTTGATATATATTTACAGACCATTTTAGAATCTTTCTTCAAAGGCAACAAGATTCCCTTTCAATCGCTATATTCTGGACTTGAGAATTGACTTACATGTGGAAGACTGATGAGATGTGTTTTTCCATGTTGGTGATAGTATTAAGAGAAAACTGCTCTTTACTTTTTTCTGATTATGCAAACCAAACATCTCAGTCAAATGCCCCACCTAATTTTGTTCCTAGAAATGGCATGCAATATTAGTTAACACCATGGATTCATGCATTGCTACTCTAGCCTAGCTGCTTGTTACAGTAATTTATACCCATGCTGCCAGATGGTTAAATATTGCCACCTGGCCTCTACCAATTTAGATATTTAATCCTCATAGATAGTATGGACACTGGCTCTTCGTTATCATTTCCTACTGTCAACAAAGGCCTAAAAAAAGATAGGCACTATCTAGTTTTGTAAATGTGTTACCTGCTTTTCCAGAATATTCTGCCTTACTTACTAGAAACAATACCCTTAGAAGCTTCTTGGAGAGCACTGAGGAAGTGACTTAGTTAATACTCTCCATTTTTGTTTCTTCTGATCTGATCCCTTCTTTAATACTACACCGGAAGGTATAGTTGGTATTTCTAGTTATCAAACGTCTCTGTTGAGTCAAGGCTTCAGAGAATTATCCCCACAAACTATGGTGATATTTTATTTGTGCTGAAATGTAATTTTATTTGTATGTTAATAAATAAAGTTGCCTGGAGATGAGAGGTAAAAGCGAGCCATTAAGCAGAAGTCTGGCGGTGGTAGCACACGCCCTTAATCTGATCACATGCTAGGCAGGGTTTCTGTGTGGTCAAGGACACAGCCAAGTGTGGTGATCTGAGTCTTTAATCCCTGTACCAACCATAGAGACCAGGAGGTCTGTATAGACAGGCAGTGACGAGGAAGTCATGTGGCTGGGTTTAGAGTCAATGAGAAGGCAGAACAGGAAAGCAATAAAAAGACAAGTTACACAGGAGAAGCTCTCTCTCTCAGGAGCAGCAACGGCAGTAAGTGGTAAGCTAAAGGTAGTCTTGGCTCTTTGATAGTGCTCTGATCTCTTGGGCTTTTAACTCTGTATTTGGCTCTGTGTTTCTTTTTTTTT